TTTTTTTAACATCCCCTTCAGTAAAACAGGGGGGACTCCCTGACCTAAATCTTTTCTTTTTTTTTTTTTTTTTTTTTGAAAATAAGGTCACAGGTTAGAAGAATAAAAATGTGAAGATAGCAATACTTATAGATATTTGTAATTATCAACAATGGAACAACAATTTAAAAGAAAATTCAGTAAAAAAAATGTATGATTCACTTTTTTTTTCAATTTTTATTTTCTGCACCTGTGTTGCATAGGAAAAGTGTTGAGAGTTTGTAAATATCTAAGGAGTCGTTAAATTTTAAAATATCTGTGAACACATATACCATTTAGAGCTGTTACGCCACATTAAAATATTTTGGACTACTAGAATACCTGCATTATACAGTAGCAAAAATTTTGGTATCAGTCTATAGAAAAAGCACTATAGAGACATGACTATTTTAGCAGAAAACAGAACTAAAAAATCCAGAACTAAAGAATAGTTATTTAAAACTACACCCCATCTATGAAGAGGGTCAACACTAAGTGAAGCTTCCTAGCACAAATGAACAAGTTTTACCTCTTAAATAAATGAAATTTTATCTTGCTGATGTGTTTCCATTACTGGTTATATGCATACACACCTACCGCTCTTGAATGTAAAAAGATCCAGTATAAATACAAAGTATGAATGGATATAATGAAATCACATTAATAAATATTCATAATGATTTCAATACTTGACTATTTGCAAGTAAGTTATTTGGAACATTTAATGAATTATCACTGAATACTGAGCTGTTTGAATACTGTTCATCTGGAATACGATTTACAATAAATATAAGAAACCCTATCAGTTTTTTTAAGATTCTTTATCACAAGCTACTAAGAGTGGAGAATAACTTGCAATGCAAAAACAGATTCTCACAGTAATTCATTGGTAATTCATTAATAACCCACTTTATGCCTCTCCAAGTATATTTCTATGCAAGACAAATATACTTTAATATAATTTAGTAAGAAACTAAAAAGTGAAAATAGTGTATCATCAAATCCAACAAATATAGTATTTTAGAGTGTTTGAAGGTAATAAAATTGGCTCGTATTTTCATTGTTTATTTAAAGAATGCCTTAAGAAAAGGTTTGCCAGGACTCACAGCACCTAGATTTAGAACTACCTTTTTCAGGACATGAAGTAACCCTGCTCTTCCTAACTTTAATGAAGCCACTCTTCATAAGTGTCCATCTATAATAGCAAAATTGCCAATGTTTATTATTTCTTTCCAAAATTGAATATACATTTTCATATTGTATATTTAAAGCACCTTCAGTCTAGCTCCTTTACATCAAAGGGAAGGAACGGAGCATGATAAAAGGACTTTATCCATATCTGGTGGAAAACTTTTCTTGTACAGGAAGCAAGACAGTCACAGAATAATCCCTAAGGACTTCTCCATTAGGGCTGAAGGTATCCAGAAAGGAGGTGGGTGAGGTGGAAGGGCTGTAGGATGTCACTTATCTACAGGGATCCTTAGCGATGATAATGCCTATAGGCTGCAGGCAACATCTGACGGGCACCAGAATTATGTTAAGGACTCTCAGAATGGAGAAATCACAATTATAATCCTAACCCAGATTTGATCCACCCTGCTCTGGGGTGGAAAGTCCTATCCTGAACCTCAGAGAGAGAGAGAGTGAACATAGTCATACCCTTTGTATAGAGGTGAAGTGTGCTACCGCCTGTGCTCTTTTATTTTGTAACTACCATGTCAAACTCGATGTTTTGTTAATGTTAAAAAAATAGTAATAATTATTTGTAAAGAATAAATTTTCATTAAAAAAAAATCAACATATAGAAAATAGTGCTCCTTTTTAAGCACTAACAAATATTCTTTTTAAATGGCAGGTTTTCTCAGGCACCTTCAAAATTCTGATAACATTATAACCATTTATACAGTGTTTACCTTCTTTCTCTTATCTTAAGGGCTGATTCAGCCAAACCTGCAGCCGCAGTGAGCCCCAGCTCATAGCAGCCCAGTTCCATTTGTGTGAGGTTGAAACAAATAGGGTTTTTTCCAATTTTAATCCTGCACGCTATAGCTTCTTTACAATAACAAAAACTAGAGTCTTCTGGAAAATTGATCTCCTTCAAAAGAGTAACAACTGGTGACCAAAAAAAAAAAAAAGTCACCATCTCCTGTTTATGGAGAAATCCTTTTTACAAAACAAGAGTCAGATCTTAGCAGGCTAATACTCTCATCTCCACAACTTGCCTTCCTCAGAATTGACAGCATCATCACTATAAAAAGCTGAGGATGACTCACCACAAAGGAAATGTAAAAGAAATCACACACAATATTTTATTATCTTTTAAAGGCAAAGAGTACAGCAGATTAGCACCACAATAACTCACGTGTAACTTGAACTTGCGCCACCCAACCCATTACATTCTTTATAACCTAAATGTATACATAAAACACGGACATATGTAGTCCACTTAAAAATATATATATATATATGTACGTGCATACACATATGTGTGCACGCACACAAGAAGAATTGAGATTGCTCAGTACTTTTTAAAGGACATAAATACATGTTAATTTTAAGATATCTAAAAACAGATGTTTTCACTCGCATAAATATGTGCTACACACAGATTTTTCCTTCCCGAGATGTTTATAACACAGCACATTCTGTTTCTGAAATAATTTTAACTGAGAGAAAACAACTAAAGGTGATAAACCGATGTGTAGTGATAGCATAGTTGTTCTTCAGACTATATATGTTTGCCATTAGCTATGAAAAGAACCTTTGCACTACTTTTCGTGTCATTTTGTGCAACAACAACGTAGAAATGCCTTATCTGCTATACGCTAGACTGTATTAACACGCAAATAACACAGAAACTAGTAGACCAAGCACTGTGTATTTTTTCAATATTTACTAAAATAAACTTAATTCTGATTAATTGAACCAAATAAGTTTAAAATCTCTTAGAATAAGTTTCATCTCTCCTTTTTTTTCTGAACTAAATTTCAGATCATTGCTTTGAAAGCGAGAAAAACTTCACAGCTACAAGTTTAATACAGGATATATACTATTTTCTCAATTTAACAATCATAATGTTTCTAATGTATGCGCACCTTTTTGCTGCTGGTGGTACAGTTTCCTTCCTGGTTCCTGATGGGGAAGGTAAAGAGCCACTTGGTTTCTTTGGTAACACAGTTCCATTATTAACAGTAGTCCTTAAAGGCAGTGTTTGTACCAATGGTCTTGCTGTAAAATAAGCAGACAATGACATTATGGTTTTATTTTTCCTTTTCCTTTTCTTTGTGTGTTTTTTTTAAGTGAACAGTATTAGAATATTTAAAAATACCTGTGCAGCAAGCCCATTATGTTTCACTACTGCCCAATTCCACTAAAGATGAGGGCTTTAGTGGATAGGCAAATTATTTTTATTTATAATGATATCAATCAGGTCATCTGCATATTGCTCAAACACGCTAAACATAACCTGTGCTCATCTGCAAAACTCTGTTCTAGTTCAGTGAGCTTACTAGTAAGAGCAAAGACAGCTGCTGCCACCAGAAAACATTTTGCTCCCCTAAAAGAATATCTGTGTATTGCCCATCTGGACAGCATTTAGAAAAAAGTAAGAAACAAAGGCAGGCAGCCATCCGAGAAACTCCTACTCTTTACCTCTCAGTGTTTTGCAAGATTTTACACAAGCAAATAATCTACCAAAAAACCTGATTTCCCACCTCCACCCAAAAAGCCTCTTCTCTGAAAGAGGAACGTGGGCTTATGTTGGGCAAATAGGAATTTTATCTTTTAGTCTGAAAAAGTCATTGAAATCAGCCAAACAGTGGGACATAATCAGCAGATATTATCTGCCTACATTCTCCTCATCAAATATTGGCTCAAAAACTTATATACGCGTCATACATGTAACGAACATGAAAATAATGGAAAAGTTCCATTCAAGTACATTAGAAATTAGTTGCAAAAAAACAGTGGTTAAAGCCGCAAGCAGTGGCTACAAACACAAAAACTATAGTCAAACATAACCTGAAAACATTGCTATGAACATGGCTAATGCTCTCTCTACAGCAGGGAAGAAAATCAAAGCTTTCTGCGTCACTTGAAATTGGACAGAATTTGGTATTACTGGCCTTCCGGGTAAAAATGCCAAAAGTCTCTAGGTTCAGATACAACAATACCCAAGAGAAGGCAGAAGCCATAAGTTACTTAAGGTAAGCGTGTTAAAATTTCACTGAAATTCAAGAGGATGTCAGAAATAATACCTAAGAAATACTCTGAAAAAGGACTGATGAGAACAAAATCTAACAAGCTAAACCAAAAAGCTAACAACTGTACATGGTCCTCAATTATACTACGATAACTTCTCATTGTAGCACAGACTGCAAGCATTTATTGACTTGCTGACCTCAAGTTTTCACCCACTGAACAAAAAAAGACAAATGTGAAAGCCTGTGCCATGTTTGAGATTATATCAGTAAACAAGATAAACTTGGGAATGCAAGTTTCAGGATAAAACTGCTTGACGTGTATTAAAGCAGTTAATTTTGTCAAGCTATATACTTGCCTGTTATGTATCGATCATGCATTTGTTCAGAGTAGAGAAATCTAGAAAATAACCCATAAGGATATATTGAAGGAATAAGGCTTATTTGGTCTAGAAGATTGAAAGATGACATGACAACAAGTCAGCAAAGAAAAAAAGAATAAAATCTCCTCCATGCCCACTGAGGACTGCAGAGCCTGTATCTGCAGAAAGGGTTAGACAGGGTTAGATAATAACCCTCTTACCAATAATAGAAAGAGTAGGAGTTCTCTGATTTTATGGGAAGCTTTAAAGAAAGGCTAGACAGGACAAGCGAACTCTTGAGGTGCCTTCTAGCTCTGGTTTCCCTGATCTGTTTTAAAAGACTAACACTATCTTTAGAGCTCACACATGAAGCCAAAACACCTAAAGCTGATGTATAAACACCGATTCTGTTGCACATCACAGGTAGCTACAATTGAGCAGTTGGTACACCTGCTCCCTGATATGATTTCTGTATCAAAACTTTCATGAGGCTCTGCAGTCATGAACTAAAATAATTAAAGGTGATAATAATCACAATAAAATGAAGTTAATAAGTGATTAAAATCCTTCTTTATAATTATAGAAAATAAATCTGTACTAAACTGTAGCTGGAGGAAACTAGCTAGAGTTTGTTTTCTCTCCAATCCTTATCAAAGCAGAAGTGGCAACAGCCAGTAATAAACCCTGTAACTTTTAGCAGTCAGCAGAGGGTCTGACCGATGCCAGTGCAGGGTCCTCGCTTCTGCGGCTGAAGATTCCAAGATCTAACCCCCTAATCAGATGGTGCAGAAAGCAACAACATGAAACTATTACATGGTATACGGAAAAACTATAAATTATTCAATTAATCCACTATTTACTCCGGAGCCATTTAGTTTTATCTAGAGCTATTTCACACTAGTGGTAACCGACATAACAGTCAGACAACTGCAAACATGTCGTTACTGTTAGAAGCCGTGGATGTCAGTAACTCAAACACATTCCTATTATTGCTTTGTCAATAACGTTTATTTTGTAAGGTTTTTTTGCTTCGCGGTCTTACCTGTGGTAGCAGTACTGACATGTTTATCAGTCTCAGCAGCAGCTTTTTTAATCATACTCTGATCTATGAATTAATAGGGCTGTTAAGTTTACAAACAAACCAATAATTGCAATAGGAAAGAACAACAAACAAGAGTAAAACAAAGGCCGGAAGCCATACTGAACTCCACAAGGTAGTTGCATTAAATATAAAAAGCACCATTAGTGAAGGAGCTCCATAAATGGACCAGAAAAGCAGCTCAGTTCCCACGACCTGCACTGCGTCTAAGCTGCTTAGCGGAGGTCTAGAACCAGAGGTCATGCAAGTCTGGAAACAAGCTCAAGCTTAGTTGCATTATATTTCTGAAAACCTTAAACTCGACCAATTTTAAAGACTTAGTACTCAGAAAATGGAGTCTTTTGTCCCATTAAGTTTCTTATTCCAGATTCTAAAGAGCACAGCTAGGACCCTGTTTTTTCAAAGGCAGGAACCTCTTCTTCCTCTCCCCCCCCCCACCTTTTAATCCTGGACAATAGATTAAGGGAAAGAAACAGCAGACAATATGCTTTGAATAAGAGTTTGCATGGACCAGATTTTTCTGATGCGTTGTGAGACTAAATTCCACTTTTTAAAGTGATATACGTGGAATTGGCCATTAAACGACCAATGGATAGAAAACAGCTTGAGTCCTACTCAGCCCATATGACAAAATGTTAGAAGCCTCCGCTCCAGTTTCACCCATGTCTGTTCAAACCCCTCTCCTTGCAGTCACCATTGGGAGCCGTTGCAATGCTATTCTAAGTTACAGCATTGAAATGAAGCTTAGTCTTACAGGCTAGCTAAGTAGCGTAGGTAATTAGTTTAAAGTAATTGTGTCTACAATTAGAAAAATAGGCCATCACCTGAAATGTATCATATTTGACAAAACTGCTGAAAGAAACAAATGATCTGGATACCTCAAATTCTCTTTCATATGTTGCAGAATATGTTTAATAAAGTAAACAAGGGCAACCATACACTAATGATACAACTGAAAGAATAAGCTATTTACATAAATATTTACAGCAGCAAGTATTTCCATAAATGAGTTGTATTTAGTTAGCATTTATCAGGGCTCATTTCAGCAGTTTGTTGTGGATGAGCTATGGGCATTATTTTGCAGTGCTCCATTTGCATTATCACAGTAAAATTTCTTATCCTGTAATTTCTTATCCATGTGTGTAATTTCACACATGAATAAGAAATCAAGTATCAATAGCAAGTATCTATGCCACACATACACACAAGAAAACACACACCCGTGCCCTCCCCCTTTAGCAGAAGGCAGAAGCACAGGCTTATAAGGTGGCGGTTTTTTTGGGGTGTACATTGAACTATAGCCTTAAAGATCTGTCACAACAAGGAAAGCATCTCCAGAGTTAGGATCCAGTTCTTCACAGAGTCCATGAAAATTTAACTCTGCATTTGGCTAAGTAAAGCTGGCAGACAAGAACAACAATTTGGTTACAATTTGATAATTACTAGACTTTATTTCCTCCATGCATCAGATAATATTTATTTTACAGGCAACATAAGGCCTCTTAATCCCTTGTACAATCACATTTGGTGGAACATTTTATCACAGTGAAGGCTATCTTCAGTACCATCTAACTTATCTGATAGGTTAAATATTTTTTTGCAATCAAACAGACAAGGACAAGATGAGAATAGAAGAAGGGGAGAGCGTGGGAACACAAGACCACAGACATTCACTGTATCTTCTATTCAGCAACTAATATGATATAAGATCAACCAATCCGACTGTGCAAATCGGTCTTGCTTTCTCCTCTCCCCATTTCCAGATACAAAATATTGAAACAGAGTCACAATTCAGCAAATTAAATTTGTTGCTTACCTAATCTATTAAATCAATGCCTAAAAATAAATGCGACACAGTCACAAACATATAACCCACCTGAAAAGAAGTCTTAGAAAATTATGAATCCATAATTACATAATTACATATCATCCTTCCAAAATAAATTAAAAATTTAGTCTTAGTTAATATCTATTAGGACCTCAAAGAAACACATTCCATAATTTAGACATTAAAGAGTCTACGAACTCAACCAGACTTTCTTTCCACATCTAGCTTGCTATAACTATTACTCCTAAGACTATCCAAATATACTTTATGCGCTTCTGCTAAGGTGCACACAGATAGTTTTCTATGCTTTTACAGAATCATGTACTACATGAAATCTTATCAGCTGGATTCCAATAAGCCTTTGCTACTGTGAAGTGGTTGATGCCCAACTCAAACTTTTCTGATTTGCATACAAATACACCCATTCCTGTAGAACAAGGACCAGGAGCGCGCACTCTGCGGCATGTGTCCACAAGACACACTGTGGAGCGGTGACATCTGTCACATCTGCCACCTAGCTGGCCCTGGGACCTGCTGTGGTACAGCTAAGTCAAGCACACAACCGTAGGTGTATCTCTCTTGAGTACCTGAGTGGCTGGTGTTGCATCATCTCCATGGACATACGCCCTTCAGCTAGCTCACAGCTCCTTGTCTTCAAATGGGGTAGGCATATCCAAAGACACTTGAGCCATTTTTTCTTAAAATAAACTTAAATTTTACCTACATGTAAACTTAATTATTTTTTTCAATTAAAAAGCTCTTACCGTTTTCACCCATAGAAGATGATAGGTTCCCCAAAGCATTTATACACTAACTTTGAACAAAAGTCAGGAAATGGTAGCCATGGTTAAATGCAGAAAGGAGCTTCAGAATATAAGAACATATAAATGCTTTACTGAGTCATGGGAACTTTGGAGAGCTCACAAGTTAAACTACTTGGATTTTTATATGTTCTCTTTAACAGGTTAAATTTCAAATTTTATTTTTGAGTTTTATTTGATGATTTTGAGCATTTCAAAAGATATAAACAATGACCTACTGTAATATATACAATGTTCCTTGAAATGCAATACCTAATTTTACATATATCTGAAATGCAAACCTTTGGTAGGTCCTTTCTTGTTTTGCATGGCCTGTTGTTCCTCTGTAATATTCAAGCGTCGAACCACATCAGCAAGGGCAGATTTAAGCAGCTGGATGTCATCTTCCTGCATCTGCACACGCTGCTCCAGAGAAGCAATGCGATCTGTTACCTCCATACTGCTTGCAGCAGAGGCACTGTCATCTAAGTGAAACGGCAGAAAAAAATACATCAATACACAATGTAGAATCATAAAGAAACACCTTATATAAATGATTGTAGGTAAAAAGGCTTTTGCACACCTGATGACCTCTAAAGAGGAAAGTTTAAGTGATTAAAGGGAAGAGATATTGGGGAAGTGGGGAGGGATAAAGAGCAAATAAAATGGCAAAAAGGAGGAAGTTTCCTTCAGGTCTGCTAATCAAACCCCACAGTCAATTATCCTTGTGTATCAAACTCGAGTGATCAAGTCATCGCAATTCAATGATTTACTCTTCCTCTAGATCTGAATGTTTACCAGTGCCAGAAAATAAAGAGCTACACTTCCTGATGTTCTGCATACCTTTCTAGATTTTCTTTCTCATATATGTGATAGGAAGCGTACATTAGAGATATATAAGCAATAGATGGGTATACATTTTTCATGCCCACAAACTGGAGCAAAGATATTAACATAATTTGGTAAGCCCTAATGTACATGAGTAACTTGGTACGTAAACACTCCTGCTGACTGAAATAGAAAAGTTAAAGACGTTCAGAATTCCTTGAAAATTGCACCCCTAGCCTGCAAAGTTTTAGAGAGTCATTACTTTGTACACAACTCGCCAGTTATTCAGAAGCAATCCACAGAAGTTTAAAGTCTGTAAGTCACTGATGAGGACTATGCATTCTTTCCACCCAAATCTAGTAATGAGAATATTTTTCCTAAATGGGTACTTTCGTTCCACTCCATTTCCTATCAAATAGAAACATCATAATTTCTTACAATATTAAGTTAAGGAAAAAACAGAATAAAATAGGACAAAAACAATGCCAAAGATGTCAAAGCTAATATCTACAAGGAAAAAAAAAAACTTACAGTTTTAAAGAGAATTACAAGGTTTTATTTAACTAGCTACATTTGAAATTAACAAAAAGTTGGGTGTTAACCTACTGGATCATTTTAAGTAATGATAAGCTAGTGATGACTGTATTATAGCTTTCATCTGAAGAGTTAATAAATTACACTTTACAAAAATGGATACTTATACAGCTAATATCTATGATCATAATTTACTTCTCTCTCATTCCTAAAGTGAGTCCATTACACACGTTTCTTCTGACTGTTAAAGTCAGTGTCTCTTTTCAAAGAAACTCGTATTTGTTTTCGTTTCTTGTGTACCTAATTCTCTTCCATTCCACATCAAAGTTTTCCACTCATAGGCATGAGGACTTACAATGAAAGTTAAATGGATTGTGCATAATAGTGTCGAATTTTAAAACAAAGTAAGTGCTCCAACAAGAAAACAACAGTTTCAGCATCTGAATGCATTTAAAATCATGTCCAACAATGTTTACAATATCCAAATTTTTAATTAGAAAATTTCTCAGTGGGAAAATTTGCATTTAAAATAACAATAAGAAAAAAAAATTTATTTGTCTCTAATCCATCCGAATACTAGTTGTTTTCAAAACCTGTTCACGAGTTACTTTTGGCTTCCTTACCCCCCACATCCCCAACAACTATCTGCTGTTACCAAAAGCTGAACTAGAAACAACTCAAAAACAAAGATATAGGAATACTGACAGTCCATAAACTAGTTACAGGCTAATATAGTTTAAGTTACTTGTTATTTCTGTTATGGGGTTTTCAGACTATATCTAAAATATCCACATTATCCACATATTAAAGATTTTATGCTGAACATAATGGTAATAAGTATCCAGTTCTGACAAACTAAACCAAAACTTGAGTTCCTGAAAAATGCTGAACAACTTTCCCCATGACACAATCTCAGTGCTTTCCAAACTTTGGCTTAATCACAATTCTGTTCAGCAACAGAAATCTGTACTGCAGCTGTTACAGGTAATTAATCCCAAAAATAAGATTAGCAGACATGTTGGCAGCAGTATGAGCTGCCTGTTGAACTTAACCTTTCCTTGTGCAAACAAAAGGCCCACGCTGCTCTAATGACTTTACACTTTAACTCAGCTGGAAATAACATGGATTAGCATACTGGACAATAGGCAACCAAATCAAAAGCTTGATTTGACCAACACAGGCTGAATTCAAATGTCTACCAGTCTGCCAAATTCAGTATGGCATGCCATACTTTCCTTCTGAAATAAGTCAAAAAAAAAAATCAACTCCCAAGACCAGGGCACAGAAGGAAATCTGGAGGGGGGGGGGGGGGGACAAAAAAATCAGTTGTTTTTAAAATGATCTGCTGCTTGTTAGAAAAGAAAACACCTTCACTAAAGTATCAATTTCGTCAACTTTTAAGGGTAAAGAAACTTTAATTTTTCTCAAATACAAAGCTTCAAATAGTAAATCAGTGCCACTAGGTTTATTTACAGTCCCTTATGAAACTGTTCCTCCTAATAGTTATCATGATGTACACCTCTATTTTTCCCCCCACATCCCAGCGGTCACTGTCTCTCTTCCCCTCCTTTCCCTGCTGAAAAAGCAGCAGCAAACCCGTCCTCCGGGCTCGTGACACCTTCCCCTGCCAACACCCATCCTGCTCCTTCTATGTGAAGGACTCTCATTCTTGCTGCAGCTTACAATTTGCTTTTTTTACAGCAATTTTTATTTTATTTTATTTTTATAGCTATTATCTTGCTGGATCCAGTTCCCTTCCAAGCATGCAGAAGAGAAGAAAGTTTCTACCAGCTTTCAGTAACATTCAGTTAGTGGAGGATGAAATGTTCTTGCAGCCAGGATCATTAGATCAGAATACACTAAACAATAAAGTTACAACTTAAACACACATAAACAAGCAAAGTGGTACGTTGACAAAAAAAAAAAAATTATATAAACTAACCAGACAAACAATAAAAAATAGTCATAACAGACTATCTAGTCTGCCCACAAGACAAAAAGCTATACTGTTAGTCTAAATTATGATTTACTTCTGCAGGATAAAGGTCATCTTCACAGTAAAGAAGAAAACGTGTAAGGAAATCTTTAATAAATATTTGTAAGGTGATGTAGACCTGGAGTAGACCCATCTTCTTCTTATTGTTCCCAAGCCAATATTAAATTTAAAGTGACTTAACTTTTTATAGCATATAGTTATACATTTTCTCACACATAAAACACATTCTCAAATAACTCACAAAACGCAGCTGTGACAGGAGCACAGCAGGTACCGAGCGGGGTGGCTGTGCAGTATCAAGAGGCAAAGAAGTGCCTTGGCTTTGGAGGGTGGAGTCTGGGGCTAAATTTTGGCTCATATTGTCCATGAACTTACTCTCATGGCAGCTGGAGTGCAAGAGTGTTTTGATTTTACAGTTCCAGTTACAGTAACTTAGAGAAAAGCTCTTGACAGTAACAACGTAAAGACCTCAAAATGCTTCATGCAAATCCAAGGAAATACAAAGTGTACTTTTAAAAGAAATCCGAATGGTTAGAAATACACTGTAATAACACATAAACTTTACTGCATAGCTTCACAGTACAATAAGAGAATCACTATGCCAATACTTGTTACTTTTTGTGTCTGTAGATACAATAACATTAACAATTTTTAACAGTGCCAGTATATTTAGATTGGTGACAGCTTTACAATCTAGCTGTCATGAAACCACAGGTGCTCACTGTCTTGAAAGGTATATAAAGGAGACTATAGATCCTAACAGTTTGCTTTGAAGCATTATCTGCTGCGCATTGGATCTACTCAGCAGTCATGACCACCATTTTTGCCCACGGACAGCTAGCACAGACTTCAGATCACCTACACTGATAGCGTCTATGTTAGAATTTGTCATTGCCTCTTTTTTAATCAGAAGGAAGGAAACGTACTTTTAAAATGAAATTTATGCAACTTGACTTTAGAAATCTGAAATGAATCACGTTCTACAAGCGTTCGTTTCTTTCCATGAAATATAATGAAAGCCTACATCACTATCTTAAACATAAACATCTACATCTGGTGAGATAAATGCCACCTACAATGTCCAAATTTAGATACAGTCAGGAAGTTCCAATTGAGATGCCTGGTTTTTCATCGCAACACACATTTGTGGCAAAGCTTGGAAAGAACAGTCATTTCTCAATTAATGCTTTGCTGAGATTCTCCAGGTTTCAAAGAGAATACAGCAAAAAAAAGGGAATGTTCTTCATGCCTCTCTTTCAATTTTCCAACCAGCTAATCCATGATCTCATAGATTGGAAAGATTTCCTGCGGCAAACTAGAAGACAATACTGAGTCAGATGATTAATCTGCTTCCAGAGCATCTTCCAGCTTTTCAGCATCTTATTACTTGAACTTAGCCAAATGTGAAGAAACATCTGAAAGAGAGCCAAGAAGAGGATGTGTATACTGCTTACAAGTAAGCATGATTTAAATATTATTTTATTGTGTGTAGGGTAAAGGAAAATGACATATATTACTACTTAGAGAGCACATTAAAATATATACTACTTTCTCTGTTTTTTACCGACTGGAAAAGCTAAACTGTAAATTAATGATTTAGGAAATAAAGGAACTCTCAGAATAAAGCAAACTAAAAGGAAACTATCTGCATCTAGTTTTGCATTGCCAAATATCTACAAATTTTCAAGATGAGTAAGCAGTATAAATATTGTTCACTTACTCTGCATATGCTATTAAAATTAATACTAAAGTTAAAAAAAAAAAAAAAGGACTTAGCATTCGCATTCCCCTTCCCCCCGCCTCCAAAAATTACTTCATTAAACAAACTCTGGTGCTTATTTAACACATTTCACCTTTGCCCTACGCAGACATTAATTCTGAGACTATCTTGTCCAACTCAGACCGTGACAGCTGATTAAGTAGTGGAAACATTATGTACTGATTCTGGAAAGACTGGCAAGCAAACCTGACTTTACTCAGTCTGCATTGCCTCTTTGCAGTAACAATTAATAGGATTAATCTGTATATGAAATACCGCCAAAACTTTTCAGGATACATTCTGTACATAGCAAGTTTATAAAATACCTTGCACAATGGGGATGTGGTTGCTAGACGCTATTACAATAG